CATAATTGATGCAGTGACAACTCCCACTTCATGACATTGTGTGTGTTATATGTAATTTTGCCCCAAAGTTCAAACAAGTATATAAATTATACCAAAATATGAATTGTTCACTGTATCTAGTGGCTTTACATTCTTCTTAAAATTTATAAAAGTTCAAATAGAGATGCTATGCTTATCTTTATATTACTAAGAACATAGCTATGCTTTATAACTAAACACTCATTTATACATACAGTTGAATCCACGTCTTCAAATTCTTATGTGAAATGACAGCAATATTACTATCAAAATTGGCAATATGATCACAGATCTCTTATGTTCTTATAACTAATGTACTATATTCTCTTTTTACTCAACAATTGCAAAGATAAAATAAGTTCCAGGTATACACTTCCATTTTATATAAGTAGTTCGAACCTCAATGGGGGGAAATAAAAGACAAGGCTAGTCAAGCATATTTGTAAAGTAGAGATTCGAAGAAGAGAAAAACAAAGGATGTTCTCTAAAGAGGAAAGGGAAAGACAAAGAGAAAGAAAAGGAAAGCAAAGGGGCTAAAGAAAAGAGCCAATATAAGAAGAGTGATGTGTAAATCTACTACTAATGGTCCAATAGGGCTGGATTAGGCTGAGACCAACTTGTACAGTAGGGCTGTGATTCCTAATGAGGGGCTGAGTTTTATTTTAGTTCATTCAATAAAGCTTTGTTGAGTGTTTACTATATTCTGGGTATTCTTTAAGGTAACAAACTATAATCATGGCCTGCTTTTGTATAGCCCATAATCTAAGAATCATGTTTACATTTTTAAAGGTTTAAATCCAAAACAAAACAAAACAAAACAACACAGAGAACATATGAGCTGCAAAGCCTCGACTATTTATTATTTTGCCATTATGGAAAAAGTTTGTCAAACCCTGGTTTAAGATATTGGGGCTAAAGCAGTATGAAATTATAAAACAAAGAATACCTTGTCTTTGTGGAGCTGATATACTGGTTGGGGTGTACAGATCAACAATAAACATGTGAAATATATAAAGTTTGTCAGATGTATGCAGACGATTCAAACAGGGAAGGGGATCTGACTGCTAGCAAAGGTAGACTGCCTTATGGCTCACAGAGCTAAATGGGGTGACAGCTTGGGATGAGGAATGATGTGCTTATCTTGACTTTTTGACATGAAAAAGGCGATAAAGGGATGGTGTCAAGCAGAGACAATGATTCTGATGGTGACTGTTGTGTGAGGGTAGGGAAGAAGGTGGTTTCTCAGCAGAAGGCCAGGGTGCTGGGGCTCTTACTTCTCTCCTGCCGGAGGTGAGGTAGAGACTGGGGAAGAAGGTGGACTTATTGTGAACACCCAGAGCTCTGTCTGTCTCTGGGAAAGCAATGATTTCTCAAGCAGGAGAGCTGCATGTCCTGGCAGGGCTTTGAGGGGGTTTACCTGAAGATGGTGGTGAGAGTAAACCCGAGGAAGAAGCCCCCAGAGCAGGGCCCTTGGAGTGACAACAATTTCTAAGAGTAGATATTTCCTGCAGCTGACATTGTATCAGAGGGGATCACTGACAAGCACAACATTCTAGAACTTAAGCCTGGGACAAGAGACAAAGTTATAGCTGTTGTAAGCACCACAGCATAAGAAAGACCACACTGAGTCAAATCAGCATTCGATGAGACAGAATCTCTCTTCAATAAATGGTGCTGGGAAAACTGGATAGCCACCTGTAGAAGGCTAAAACAGGACCCACACCTTTCACCTCTCACAAAAACCAACTCACGCTGGATAACAGACTTAAACCTAAGATATGAAACTATTAGAACTCTAGAGGAAAAAGTTGGAAACACTCTCCTAGACATCGGCCTGGGCAAAGAGTTTATGAAGAAGTCCCCAAAGGCAATCACAGCAGCAACAAAAATAAATAAATGGGACATGATCAAACTACAAAGCTTCTGCACAGCCAAAGAAATAGTCATGAAAGTAAACAGACAGCCTACAGAATGGGAGAAAATTTTTGCATCCTATGCATCCAATAAGGGACTGATAACTAGAATATACTTAGAACTCACGAAAATTAGGAAGAAAAAATCAAATAACCCCATTAAAAAGTGGGCAAAAGACTTGAACAGAAATTTTTCTAAAGAAGACAGAAGAATGGCCAACAAACATATGAAGAAATGCTCAACATCTCTAATCATCAGGGAAATGCAAATCAAAACCACAATGAGATATCACTTAACCCCAGTGAGAATGGCCTTTATCCAAAAATCTCCAAATAATAAATGCTGGTGTGGATGCGGAGAGAGAGGAACACTCCTACACTGCTGGTGGGACTGCAAACTAGTTCAACCTCTGTGGAAAGCAATATGGAGATACCTTAAAGCGATACAAGTGAATCTACCATTTGATCCAGCAATCCCATTGCTGGGCATCTACCCAAATGATCCAGTGACACTCTACAAAAAAGACACCTGCACTCGAATGTTTATAGCAGCACAATTCATAATTGCAAGGCTGTGGAAACAGCCCAAGTGCCCATCAATCCAAGAATGGATTAATAAAATGTGGTATATGTATACCATGGAGTACTATTCAGCTCTAAGAAACAATGGTGATATAGCACATCTTATATTTTCCTGGTTAGAGCTGGAACCCATACTACTAAGTGAAGTATCCCAAGAATGGAAAAACAAGCACCAGATATATTCTCCAGCAAACTGGTATTAACTGAGTAGCACCTAAGTGGACACATAGGTGCTACAGTAATAGGGTATTGGGCAGGTGGGAGGGGGGAGGGGGGCGGGTATATACATACATAATGAGTGAGATGTGCACCATCTGGGGGATGGTCATGATGGAGACTCAGACTTTTGGGGGGAGGGGGGGAAATGGGCATTTATTGAAACCTTAAAATCTGTACCCCCATAATATGCCAAAATAAAAAAAAAATTAAAAAAAAAATAAAGTAACCAATTCATTTATTCACCTCAGGAAACTAACGTTTTATTAGTTCAAGTATTATGACTCTTGTAATGACATTCTTGGGAATATCTTCAATACTAATAAATGCTTTACTATTACTTTTCTCACATAAAAAAAATGTTTCTTGAGCACACACTATGCATCTAGCACTATTTTAGAAACTGAAAATACAGGGATGTGCAAGAAAATATTAGAAGGATCCATCTCTCATGAAATTTACATTCAAATGCTGTAGGTAATTTCAAATTCTTACAAGAGCTGTGTGCCAGCTGGAAGGTACCACTTAAATAGCGTGGGCAGGGAGGGCCCTCGGAGGCCATGCCTTTTATGCCAGGGGATGAAAGATGAAAAGGAGCTAGCCATTCCACAAGTGAGGGAGGATAGGCAAAGTGAATAAAAGTGAGAAGGCCCCGAGGCAGTAAAGAGCTGTCAGAACACTGATTTATGACTGTGGCAGTTTCTCCTCAGGCAGTTTTGTCATAGAGCAGGATTGATCCTGGGATGTGACAGGGTCTCCTGGGACAACCCTCAAGCTAAAGACTACAGAGGGGCTTATCCTTCCCTTCCCGCTGTTGCTGCTACTCACGGGACGAAAGAAGAGTGGAGGAGAGGGGAATTTGCCTCCAGCTACCCTGCCCTGAAGATTCACAGCCTTTCGGTAGTACCCTTGCTTTGTCTACAGGGTGCACTGCACGCCCACACCATTTGTACGATTACAGGTAGAAGGAGGGCTACAATACTAATCATACTGGTAGTGGCAATAGCTGGCATTTATCGAGGGCTTATACATGCCAAGCACTTTGTGTGTAGTAATTAACTTAGTTCTCAAAATAATCCTGACATGGGGCATAACCCAAACCCCATTTTTCAGGTGGGGAAATTGAGACAAAGAGAATTGAGTAACTTGCCCAGTTCATTCAGCTAGTAGGTGTTCAAAATGGGCAATATGATCACAGAACCTTCATGTTCTTATAACTAATGTACTATATTGTCTTTTTATTCAACTATCATAAAGATAAAATAAGTTCCAGGTATACACTTTCTTTTACGTAAGTAGTTTGAACCTCATTTAAAGTATTGTAAGTGTTTCCCAAATCTCATCATTACCTTTATCATTGTTATAAATTCTTCTAGTTTGATCTTGAGAATAATTGCTTTCTTCTGGGTTAAGATGCCTTCTTTCCTCCCCTCAACCTGTTCCCATTTATTTCTAGTCCTCTAAACTCCTGAGTAGTCCATTCTAACGTATTCTTTGTACATTCTAGGTCTCCTCCTCTTCAGCTCAAATATATTCTCTTCGCTATTCCCTCAGTTCTCCAACTCAACCTATTTTCTCTGTGTTCCCCCCACAGATTTAAGATTTGTTGTTTTGAATACTAGCAAGTTTTGAGAATGAAATAATGGGCACATTGACTAAGTTTACTTTACCAAGTAATCTCATTTTGGCATATCAGGTTGTATTAGTAGTACTTGTATGATTAAAATTTTTCACTCAGACAAATAAGGAACAATAAATCTCATGATACTGATACTGGGTGCATTTTTCTACTCATACGTTTTGCTTGCCTTTATGAATGATTTCTTAGTTTACTGGAAATGATTTCCATAAGCTAAGTCAAGTTTCAGAGATTGTATATGAAAATAAGAAGTACGAGAGATTTCATTACATAAAAATAGCAAGCAACTCCAAACACTCTCAAACAAACAAGCAAACAAACCAAATCTTAGTCAATGGAAAACCAGCTATTTATTGCTTTTATTTTTGGGTGATTTCAAGCCAAATCTAAAAGTTCGAAGAGAAAATAATGTCCTTTAAATTTTACATGCAAATATTGTATGAGAAAGCAAAAATAATAAAAATTATCTTTATTTTATATCATTTATATTTCTATTCAACATATAATTTACATAAAATGCATTAGCTACCTAATCTCACTTAATATTTTCCTATTCACCTCTGTGTGTGCTACAAGGCCCTGGACTAAATGACCGAAATACAACATAGCCAGACAATGGAAAACATGCTTACCTTTAAAGAAGACAAAATTCCCATCACTGTTTTCATAAACTGCGTCGATACTAGGAGGCAAGCCCCGCCAGAAGTAAGTAATTTGCATGGGGTATCCATCCATCACCCTGTTGTTTCTCACTCGCCAAAACCACTGGTCCTGTAAAGCAAGCAAAAGCATCGCTCACCAAACATGTAGGCCTTTGCAGCATTTCACCACGGTGTGAGGGCTGGATGCTATTAAAGCCAAGCTCCTCTTGTTATCATTGTCTTGCATCAAACCAGTCAGAGAAAGAGCTAACTAATGCTACTACAATGATTACAAAAGTTTTTGCAGTTCCCCAATTTCTAAGCCACAGAGTGTGATTAAAAACATAATGTCAACATACTTAATCTTGTCATTTTATGTTATCTCCATGGCTTTCTAGACAGACGTAGCACAGACAAGCCCTGCTCGATTTGTGCATGTAAGTCAGCTTCCTGAATATGAGAGTGCTATGGCCACGCATGCGTCCTAGCACTTCTAGACATGGGCAAGACGTCCACACCTATAATGCTGAGGATGAAATAAGGAGGCCATGCCTCCAGTATGCCCACATTACACTTACTGTCCCATGTAATTATTAGTAGAACACTCTGTCACCATCAAATGTATCTTGGTTTGGTTTTGATAAAGTATACAGTCATCCTAAATGAACAAACTTATCGTGAAAATAAAATCACCACAGTGGATTCCAGGCTGGCTTAATTGCCTTTCTTATCTGTTCTTGTAACACCTTGTACTTTACATAATCAAAGCACAGGTCACTTTACATTAAAAGTGTCTATTTATTCTTATCTCTAGTGAATAGCACATGGCTTGGCCCATAGTAGGTGTTTCTAAACTTGCTGAATTAATAATTAGCCTCCACACAATATGTTGTACCATAAATACTTACTAATGGCAAAAATACAAAAATGAAAACAAAAAAATATCAAAAAAGGCACATCTGATGACATTAAGTCATTTTCTATTGAAAATTTCATAATAAATTATACTATTCAAAGTGCTTTAATATTAAAAAAGCTAGGTATATTTTAAAAATTGGTTTCTAATGCAATTTAAAATTTTATTTTAAATTTCCATACATGTAAACAGTATTTCACTTGGAAGTTCAATATTTCTACTATTTAGACAAGTATGTGCCACAAATATGTCACTTTTAATTCTTTTCTGCCTTCTTTCTAGCTCTCTTCCCCTAAATCTGATATTAATAACGAGGCTTCCCCATGCTTTCTCATGCTTTTGGCTGAGAATAAGTTAGGCTGACTAGATTTCCTAAGATTTATCAGTTATTCATATACTCATACACATACGCACACACACAATATCTACTGAGGATTCTTAGATATGGTAAAAATGAACATTTTCCAAAACTATAATAAATTAAGCCAAATATTAAAGTTTTCTTAGGAGCTTTTGAATAGTTGCTATTTGTTCTAGTTATCATGAATTCTCTTCTCTACCAACTTCTGTTGTTTATAAATAAAAGGAGTAGTTTAATTAATGGCTCTGAGTTCACATCCTATTCTTGCTCTGTCCCCTGGCAACTGTGTCACCTTAGTCAAAATACTAGTCACTGAGTTATTACAAACTATTATCTAATTCATAGCATGATTACTGTATTAAATATAAAGAACTTTCTTACAACCTGGCACATATTAGCACCCAAACTTTTGGCTGTTATTTTTGTTAAAATTGTTAAATTTTTGTTAAAATTAGTTAAAATTATATCAACTAGTTGCTATCATTTTTTTTCCTGTTTATACTTCTGGTTTACAATTCTGTCTCTTGTTCATCGCTTCCTCTTCAGATTTCGTGTATATTATGACTCTAGCCATGCATCTCTTTCCCACCAAGATCTTCTTATGTTATTAACCCTTTTTGATAGTTTTCATGGTCTCAGGTAGCCTGAATTAATAAATGTTTTGATCTGTATGCAGCAGATAAATTAAACTGATTTTAAAATACAAAGTTATTTCATGTAAGGATTGATCTAGGAAAATATATATGGGCATGAAGATCAGAGGTTTACTACTAATAGCATATAAGCAGGTGAGACTCTCATCATTCAAAAAACCCCAGCATTTTTGTCTGGCTATAATAGGGGCTTCTAACTGGGTGTTAAAACCATGACAAATCTCTAAATAAAATGTTCTTAAAATATTGCAATGTATACACAAAAATCATAACTAAAAATCGCTAAACACCTACTGGATTCTGAGAAAGAAATAAGTGACCATGATTACATATGGAACAATGAAACAGAAAGCTCTGTAAAATGAAGAATAGGAAAAAATCAGGTGAAAAATCCTGGACTATATTCCAATTTTTCTAAGAGAAGCACTTTGCAACTTTGCATTGCTATAACCTCACCACATATTGAGAGAGGGCCAATGGGTCTTTGAGACAGATACATGCTGCAGTCTGGAGATAGAAGTACAACTTCAACTTGCCACTAGTAAGGGAAGAAATGAAAGTTCTGCCTCAAGATAAGCACAGTCAATTTGCAAAAATTTAGAAGGTAATGTGAAATCACGGACAAATTGGACTATTTCTTGTTGACAGCAGCCTTGGCAGAGAGTCATGGAAATTATAGATATTCAGGTTGTGCCTCTGTTGAATTTATCCACAATTTCTCAGTTTAACAGAAAGCAATGGTACAAATAACTTAGAAAGCATTCTATCACGGAGGATGTAAACTCATAACGCAGTCCCCATAGATTGCAATTTCAGAAATAGGGCTTGTGAACAATTCATAGAGAAAGGACATTCAAAATGATGTTTAAGTCTCTGCAGATTTTCCTTGTAAGTGAGACAGACCTTCTCTGATCACCCTGTCTAAAATTGAAGCCCCTTACTCCACCTATATGGTCTGCTAGCTCTCATAGCCTCTCTTTCCTGCTATATTTTTTCATTGCATTTACCATTGTTTTATATAATACTTGTTTTACTGATTTATTGTTCATTCTTTCTCCACTAGAATATAATAAGCTCCACGATGGCAAGAATGTCTGTCTTTTTTTCACATATGGTTCCCTTTTTTCCATAAGAGTGTCTTGTACATAGTAAGCACTCAACAAACATTTCTTTAAAGAAAACAAAATTTAAGGATGAAAGAGCAAAGTAAAAGTAAGTGATCCTTTTAGAAGCCAAAGCTTTAAAATTAAATCTCAGGGTTCTTTTTTTTTATTTTTTTCTTTGTGGTCAAGATGTTTTCCTACATAAAACAATATAAAAGCTATGCAGGGGTTGCAAGAATATAAAAATTCTGTTTGAATAGGCAGATGATTAGCACATATTCTGTTTTCTAGAAGAGCGTGATATTTAAAGGTCTTTGAACCACAGAGGAAAAACACATTTTTTTTTACCTTTCTAAACAATGTAGGTTTTGTTTTGGCTTTAGATATGAAGAAAAAGAAAGATGAATAACCTATACAGAGCTCTAAATATGCTGTTTGAATAATGCCTTTAGGCTCTCTTTTTTCTACAGCCCTTATAAAAGTGGCTGAAAGGAAAAAGACTATACTAATAATATTCATAACTAGCATATCTACAAAGTCAACTTATGAAAAAAAAATAGTCCTTAAGAATTACCAAATTGGAATTCCTACTTAAATACCAATATTTCACTTAAGATAGATGCATCTTACATATAGATTTATCTTTCCATGTAGCATGGAACCCAAATGGAACATTTTGCTCCACAAAGATAAGTTCACATGATATATACCATGAAGCAGTAACATACAGGAGAAATTCGGTTTGTTTTTCTTCTATTTTCTTTAAAGTTCTGGCTTACACCAGACATACTGTTTGCTGAGAACTACACAGGGAAGGTCTGCTGTCTGGAATATGACATGACATTATTGATCTACTACCAGTAGAAGTTGCTAATTTCAGGACTCTTAAAAAACTAATTAGTAGACTTTTGCTGCTTTTCTGAAATACAGATTCATTTGTTTACCAACAGTTTGATGTAAATCTACAAATGTCTCCCATGCTCAAAATGAACATTTCTAGAAGTCACCAGTTGTTCTTCCAGCCTTCCCCGACCAGTTACCTTGACCTTCCTCTATCTTCCCCATTTCCGAAATAGCACCTCAAATCTCTTTATTTCTTGCCATCACCACTGTCACATTCTTAGTCCAAGCAGTCACTGATATGACTGCAATGGGAATCCAAAGCCTCTGATTTTCCTCCTACTGCATCCAGCATCAAAGTAAAACCTGGGCCCCCATCTCTGAGCAGTCTCTCTGGTGCTCACGGGGTTCTAGTTACAGAGGCTTCCTTCCTTTCAGCTGCTGGACAGAGCAAAGGGCTCTTCTTCTTCAAGACACCTCACAGGCAGGTGGTTTGCTCTACTGTAGTCCCCTCTAATCTGCGGTTTTGCTACCACAGTTTCAATTACTTGCGGTCAGCCACGATCCAAAAACAGGTGAGTACAATATAATAAGATATTTTAAGAGTGAGAGCGTGTGCAATAGAGAGAGAGAGAGAGAGAGAGAGAGAGAGAGAGAGAGACAGACCACATTCATAAGACTTTTATTACAGCATATTGTCATAATTGTTCTATTTTATTACTGCTCATCTTTTAGGGTGCCTAATTTATAAATTAAACTTTATCTTATATATATATATATATATACATATATATATAGGAAGAAACATAGTATATACAGGGTTCAGTAATATCAGCAGTTTAAGGCATCCACTGGGCGTTTGGGAAGGTATCTCCCACAGATGGGAGGACTACCATGCTTTGAATATTCTTCTCCTTTCCCACAATCTGAACCACAGATCATCCATTAGTTCTCAGCTGAAACATTATTGCCATAAAAAGGCCTTACCTGCTCTCTGACTAAAATTAGGCAACGCTGTGCTATGGTCTAAATGTTTGTGTCTTCCCCAAATTCATATGTTGAAATCGTAACCCCCAAAGTGATGGTATTAGTAGGGCTTCTGGGACGTGATTAGATCGTGAAGGCTGAGCCCACATAAATAGCATTAGTGTTCTTATAAAAGAGGTCCCAGAGAGCTGCCTGGCTCCTTCCATTGTGTGAGGACACAGCTAGAAAGTGCCATCTATGAGGAAGTGGGCCCTCACCAGACATGGAATC